GGTAGCGGTAGCGGTAGCGGTAGCAGTAGCAGTAGCAGTAGCAGTAGCAGTAGCAGTAACAGTACCAGTACCAGTAGCAGTAGGAGTAGGAGTAGGAGTAGGAGTAGTAGTAGTAGTAGTAGTAGTAGTAGTAGTAGTAGTAGTAGTAGTAGTAGTAGTAGTAGTAGTAGTAGTAGTAGGTAGTAGTAGTAGTAGTAGTAGTAGTAGTAGTAGTAGTAGTAGTAGTAGTAGTAGTAGTAGTAGTGGTAGTAGTAATCGTAGCAGCAGTAGTAGTAGTAGCAGCAGAAGCAGTAGTAATACTAGCAATAGCAGTGGTAGTAGTCAGTAGCAGCAGCAGGAGTGCTTGCACTACTAGTAATAGTAGTAGTAGTAGTAGTAGTAGTAGTAGTAGTAGTAGTAGTAGTAGTAGTAGTAGTAGTAGTAGTAGTAGTAGTAGTAGTAGTAGTACCCGTACCCGTACCCGTACCCGTACCCGTGCCAGTACCAGTACCAGTACCAGTACCAGTACCAGTACCAGTACCAGTACCAGCAGTAGTAGTTTAGTAGTGGTGGTGGTGGTAGTAGTAGTAGGAGCACGAGTAGTAGTTGTTGTTGTTGTTGTCGTTGAACGTTGTCGTTTTTTGTTTTGGTTGTTGTTGCTGTTGCCATAATTGTGTTGTTCTTGTTACTGTTTGTGTTCTTGGTATCGATCTTGTTATTGTTGTTGTTCTTGGTTTTACCATTTTTATTGTGATGGACTTTGTTATTTCTATTGTTGGTTTTCTTGTTGTTGTGGTTGCTGCTTCTGCTGCTGCGCGACATGTTTCTTGATATTTGTTGCTGTTTTCTTATTGTTTTTGCTGCTGTTGTGGTGGTGGTGATGGTGCTTGCGGTTGTGCTTGATTTGCTTGTGATCCTTGTGCTGCTTGGCTGCTTGGGCTTGTGCTTGTGCTTGTTGCTGTAGGTGTCGGTGGCGGTGGTTGAGGTGTTGGTGTTGGAAGTGATATTGATGTTGTTGTCGTTGGTTTTGTTGTGTTGGTGGTGTTGTCGGTGATGTTCTTGGGGGTGGTGCCGGTGTGGTGATGGTGCTGGCGCTGGTGCTGGTGCGGGTGTTGACGCTTGTGTTGGTGTTGCTGGTCGTGCTGGTAGTGGTGTTGGTGCTGGTGCTGCAGCTGCTGTTGTTGGCGTTTGTGTGGGTGTTGGTGGGGTTGTTGTTGATGTGGGCTCGGGCCTCCCGAGGTTGAGCTTTACGAGTACATGAATATGGCCGAGAAGATCAATTCTGAAGGGTCCGAGGGGTCGCAATCCGAGGATTCCGACGGGGTGTAAACGTTAAACCTTACTTCAGGATCGGAGTATTGGCTTCTGCGTCCGAATGTGCTTCAACTTTGGCCACCTGCCGCGAAGGCACATGGACAAAGTCCTTGTTTTGAATGGGTCTGTGGCTTTGGGCATTCCATGCCAATTTTGTCGCAGAGCCACAAGTTTGAAACCTTAAGGGGCAACCCAGGTTTGGGCACAATTGGGCACAAGTTTCCAGCAACCTGGAGAATGGTGTTGACGTATTGTGTGTGTCGCGTCCGTTAAGTGTACAGCGACCTGTGATCAGAACTTGCATCGTTGAATCCCCAGCTATGAGATGTGGCAGGAAGATTTCATGCTTCATGCTCGTCGCCACAGTTTGTGGCCAATAAGAAAGTCCTGTTGAGGTGGCCGTCATGGCAGGATGTTAGCAATTGAAACTTGTATGCAACCAAGTTGTCACAGTGGTGCCGGTTTCTTGTTGGTAGCCTCCTGCCTGCGCTTCTTCGACGAGGTCTGTAATGACGGAGCCGCACCTGGATGAAAAAGTTCCATGTAATAAGTCATAATGCATACAGGTGGGTGCATACAGGTACGGATTCCGATTCTGAAAGACTGGAAACAAATTGACATCGGGTTCCCTCGATGTTGCATCTTTGCTTTCAACAAAGACTGCCAGGATTGTTTGGCTCAATTTACGGGTGTTCCTGAGGCATGCTATGACGATTGCAGCGTTGAGAGTTAGGCCTCGGGCAAGCTGGCCATCATTCATGCTTCGGGGTGTCCGGTTGCTTGTGACATCTTGTGACATCCTCCTGCGTTGGAAAACCAGGTGTGCTACCCCACTCACCGTGCGACGCAAGCGAGCGGCGTACGTTTGTCTTTGCTTGCGGAGGCAAGCCCAACTTCAAGACCGTGTGAATCGAGCCACTTGGTCACTAGGTATTATTGAACTTTGCTCAGATGCTCAAGCCAACTCTTCGAAGTGCTTCCTAGCCCAGAGGCGTGTAATACTGAACAGACTAAAGGTCTAAGTCTCATGCCGGAAAGTGAGCGGACAGCGAACTTCACGCCTCTCGCTAACAAAAGCTATTGCTTGCCACCTGCTGAGATTGGAGGCTTGAGCCGATCCAGCAATGCGCACATCGAAATGCAAACTCTTCAGCATTGTAGACGCTGCTGAATGCAGGCAAGACGCATCACGGAGCAGATGCAGCAGGATCGGCACTGTAGAGTTTCCATGCAGTGGTGTTCGTGTTGCCAGGGCAGTTTCGCACACATCTTCATCCGTGGTTGCAGACGTCGCACTGGCCATTCCCATAAGCTTCCCACACTGCACGTGATTGCTGTTCATGGTCCACGCCCAGCAGTACAGCTGTAGCAGTGTATCATACGTCAGGAAGCCCACGAGGATGTGAATGTGTGCGTGATCATTGCAGTGGCGCAGCAAGCTCCAACACAATTCCGAACCTTGTAAACTTGCGCTTAGTGAAAGGCATGAGTATAGCTTGAAGCAGCCTGACGTTTCTGTTTTACAATACGCGCCCTGGTCCTGTGGGCGATCTCAGCTGCCATGGAGCTCGCCCCACGCACGACTGCGGCCGCATCGTCAGCGGCGCGTCCTTCTCGGTTACCACGTCAGAACCTGCCGACACGAAGTGGGTCTGGACGTTACACAGGTGCTGCAGGCACCGGGGTTGCAAAGCGAGTGATCTTGGGGGCCGTAATTCCAGCGGTCCTCCATCCCATCCTGACCTGAAGCGAGATTTTGCAGTTCAGCACGCGGCAGGCTGCAATCGTGAATGTAAACATGAAGCCTGCGTCGACTCCTGCATATCGTGAGCGATCGTTGCAGCACCAAGATGTCCAGTATCTTGCAGCCGCTAGTGGTTCGGGCAGGCTCTTCATGGATCCGATTTGCTACACTTCGCAGACGCCTAGAGATCCTACAGGTCAGTAGGCAGTAGAGCATCGCAGCTCCTTTTTGATGCCTAGGTACCACCGCAGGCTCACACTGTCAAGGCCATACTGCACACCGGGGAAGTAGGCATGAACTTTGCGACACCTTCGGTTGCGCGTGTTTCGTGTCGCCCGAGCTTTCGAGAAGACCGCTCGGAATGGAGCCGGTGTCTGCTCGCCCGATGGCAGAAGCAGCCGGCGTCGAGGCTGACAGGAATTCTGCTTCTCAGTCCTTATAGGGCTTTGGGGTTCAACATGCACAGGGTTGCAAACTGCTTCATAGTAAACTTGTAACATAGCAAGACAGCAAAATCCGGCTCAACCGGGGCAGTTCTGTTTTCGCGAGATGCAAGCTACGGGTGGAGTGGTAAACTACTAGGTCAGTGAATAGCAAGAATCGTAAACAGTGAACCAGCAAGAATTACAACAGTAAATCAGTAAAATAATGGAATAATGAGTAAAATAGTGAATCCTGGCTCAAACGGTACGGTTCGGTCTTCGAGATGCGAACGGCTGGGGGCATGGTAAAATAGTAATAGTACTGGTAGATTAGATAGTAAGCAGTAAAATAGTAAATAGTAAAACGGCGAATAGGACAATAATACAGTTGTGAAATAGTAAAATAGTGGAATAGTAAAATAGTAAAATTCTGTCTCAACGGGCACAATTCGGTTTTCGATATGCCAACGGCAGGGGTCGTGGTAGAATAGTAAGAATAAACCGTAAAACAGTGCATAGTAAAGCAGTACATGGTACACTAGTGCAGTATTGAAATAATGAAATAGACATCCTGGCTCAATCTGCACAGTTCGGCTTTTCGAGATGCAAACTGCTGGGGGTGTGGTAACACAGCACAATGATAAATATACTGAATAGTAAATAGTAATCAGTCAGACAGTAAATGGTACAATGGTACAGTAGTAAAATAGTAAAAACAGTAAACTCCTGGCTCAAGCGTCAGAGTTCGGTCTTCGAAATGCAAACTGCCCGGGGCGTGGTAAATAGTAAAAAATACATGGTACATTCGTAAAACAGTAAAGTCCTTGCTTAACCGACACACGTCGGTTTCCGAGATGAAAAACTTACTGGCTCAACCGGCGCGGGTCGGTTTTCGAGATGCAAACTGTTCGCTGCCATGCATCTCGGGCGCTAGCTTTGCATCTGCAAAACCAAAACGTGCATGTTGAAGGCCACCGTCTCGTTATACAAGGCCAAAGAAACCAGTCACGAGACGCTTGCAAATAGGTCCGAGGCTTGCGCCTCAAGTTTACCATGAATTATTGCAAGATCCAGGATGAGTACAAAGGTTCATTGTTCTATGGGGCAGTTCCGCGCATTTCCAGTGTTGCCCGTCCTAGTGTCTCGTGCTGTGCATCTGAAGAACTAAGTTTCAACTGCAAGCCTGAAGCTTCCCACCTGGACCCCTGGAAGGCGACATCGGAAGTCCTTCGCCTGGCAGCCGCAGTTTTTCAAGACTCAGAGCACCCTATGGCGCATGCGGAGGAGCGAACATCGGCCATTTTGTGGTTTTAACGTGTTGCTGTTGCTGCTACTGGTGATGTTTTTGATGACCTGTTTCAATGAGGCAAGCTTAACCACCAGCTCGGGCTATTCCAAACCTCACACAGACAACAGACGTACTTATGCAAACGCACCTGCTACATACACACACCCATCTATGCATGCATGCACACAAGTACACATACACATATACTTATACATATACAAAAAACTTTTACAAACACAGATACATATAATACATATACGACAACATACACTTAAGCAGTTACAGGTGCATATACATGAAAGTTTATACATGTACAAACATGCATATACAGATAGTCAGCCCCCCTTCAAAGACCACCCGGCCAGAACTGCTTTCAGATTTGCATCACCGCGACCACGACCGCTACCACTACCACTACTACTACTTCTACTACTAGTACTACTAGTACTACTACTACTACTACTACTACTACTACTACTACTACTACTACTACTACTACTACTACTACTACTACTGTTACTACTACTACTACTACTACTACTACTACTACTACTACTACTACTACTACTACTACTACCACTACTACAAATAATAATACTACACTGCTACCACCACCACTACTACTACTACTACTACTGCTGCTACTACTACTGCTACTACTACTGCTACTACTACTGCTACTACTATTGCTACTACTACTACTACTACTACTACTACTACTACTACTACTACGTCTACTACGACTGCGACTACCACTACCACTGCCCCCACGACCACCACGACAACCACGATAACCACCACTACCGCTGTGGTTTTGTTAGTTTGCTTTCGCATTGCTTGAAGCCGCAGCCTGGGACCACAAAAGCAAAGATCCTGAGAGAATGCAGGAACCGTTTTGTAGGTTTTATTGGTTTGCTTTGGTGTTCCGAGCTTCTGTGTAGAATTGGCGTCGCGTAAGAAGTGCTGCAAAACAACATACCAACAAAAACAAAATTGTATCGCCGTCGTTTTTCTTCTGCGGTCTCGTCCTGCATCTTTGGCGTTGCACGCCTGTGCTCGTAGCGGAAATCTCCATATTCAAGCCTAAACTGTCAACATGTGTGTATCCGGGGTTACTAGGCCTCGCACATGAGTATCAGTTGCAACAGGTCTCTCGGAAGTATCAACCATGTGGTTTGAATATATAAACCATATCAAGGGGATAGCTTGATTCTCAGTCTTTTCATGCCCATATCAACGTGAGTAGTGGCTGTGCTGAGTTCGTCGCACGCACAGGGCGTATACTCGTGCATCGAGTTTCCTTCCGCCTGCTTATGCACCATTTCCGTTTTTTTGTAAGTAGCGGTAACCTGGTTCATTACTTCATGCAGCCACAAACGCACCAAGCCATATTGCCAGATGAGTGTCGGTATAATTGTAACCCGACCACCATTACACAGGTCTTCAGGAGTGTCTGTCAAATTACCAAAAGGAATTATTGGAATTACAGTCGTCATGCCAATTCTCAGCCATATCCAAACTACGAGTACATTATTTCTTACTTTCATGCAGTTTTTAACGATCAAGTGTAGTTAGTGTAGTTCTACTTTGACGTTTACCTATGGTGTAGCTACCATTGCCATTACCAGTCTCCCTCTTGATGTGGTCATAGTTACTTAGTTGCCGTTCTGCTTATTGAAGTGAGCCCATGAACACTCTGTACCTCCCCTCTTGTTTCTATTTCCAACATACAACTGCTGGGTAAATGACTCCTGTGATTAGCTCAGGGTAGTCGGCGCATGGTTGTGCAGTCACACACCTAGACATCTTACAAACGTATCTTACGAAGCCTGCACTCGAAGCCTGTAGAAGCAGTTGTCGTGCAACACGAGTTTTCATGGTAAAGTCTTCCATCGCAGACAATGAGGAAAATTCCGCGTTTAATCCCCTCCCATAGCAATATGTTGAAACAGAGATTGATACCTATCTGTTGCACGGGACAAAACGGGAACTTCATCAAAGGCTGTGTGGCAATCATATCGCATGAAGACTTGCCAAGGTGGATAGTGTTGTTCCCCATTGCGGTTGAATGAGATTCTCCTACTTGTACAATGCTGTGCGCCTTACACAAGCCAAACTCGAATACGAATACCTCATTCACAGAACGATAGGCTCGAGATATGAGTTGGAATGTTGAGCCCAGTTATCATACCCTGAAGCTTCTTGTCATTTAACCACGTCTTTGATATGTATATATGTATGTATGTATGTATGTATGTATGTGTATATATATATATATATCCGTTTGGCACAGAACTTGAAGTGGCCCATTTCACGCCTCTGCTTTTCTATGCCGTTTCTCTGACCCACGAACGTATATCAGAGAAACTGGCTAGTCAAAGCATGAGGGTTGAAAAGTTTCATACAGGCCTCCATCACAAGACCTTGGCTGACGGAGTTAACATACCGGGGCCAAAATTGGTCTTCCAAACCCCAGAGCCTGTAAGCAGCAATACTGGCTTTAGGGCGACACAAGGATGTAACTATCACGAATACCCAGTGACAGCGCGTGGCCGTCCACGAGCAGCTGCGACAGGAGTGGGATCGTCGCCTGCAAGAAGGGCGCGGCATCCACTTTGTCGTCCGGCAGGCCGTCTGGGAGCACTACGCACCAACATCTTGGGTACAGCCAACTTCCCTACAAAAGAACCCGCAAATTCATGCTGTACACGCCTGTCAGGACGTATGGTCCACCACCTGATACACCCTGTAAG